TATAATAAACAACTATGCAATTAGGTAGGTGTTATAAATAGGATGTGGTGGAGATGCCGAGGCTGCTCAGGTTTCCTACATTTTATAGCAAGTACCCTACTGTGATTTGCTGCTCTCTAATTTTGCCATTTGGGCTGACCAGCTGACGCCTGGTTGCAAAGAGTTATGTTCCTACAAGGCCACAGAAGCCTTAGTATTCGGGCTGCGTCTCCTTTGGCTCATGGAGAATTCTGTGTACCATCAGCAGCTCCAATCCCACCCTTTCGGCCAACCCTCATCTATCAAAGCCGGGCTGCGAGCGAGCGAGAGGAAGCTCCCAGATAAACACACAGCAGCGCCTAAACTCCTAATCGCTCTGGGCTTCCGCTTCCAGGCCCTATAATTAGAAGTCCTTCTTTTCCTTGTGTTCCCAGTTGACGCAAATGCTTTTTGTGGCTTGGCACCTCATTTAGGGCGTGGGCTCAGTTTATGGCCAGGCCAGAGTCTGGTTTAGTCTTCTGATACTGCATAAATAGCTCTTAACCCACAGTCTACATCTGTACTGGTTTTTCCTTTTATGCATATATTCGCTGCATTTTTTTGAACGTTTCTGTCCTGAAAGAGGCTTATTGTTTCCCAAACAGAATGCATGAAAAGTAGGAAGCTGTAAATTAGGGCAAATGTATCTCTTAGCTAAAAACAAAGCTTTGGTAATTTTGTTTTCATCTAGGATATCTTTTCCTTTTAAACTGGATTTTAATCATCTCCGTGGATTTGAAAAACCACACGGTAAAACAGTCATCAATTTAATCTAGCTGCAACCCCTCATATTATGGAGAAGCAAAATTCAGAGTGTTTGCAGTGAGACACATACTAGGCCATACCTGCCTTACACATAAATTTCCACTGAGTTCTGTGTATGCAAGACTTTCAATTGATTTCAGATGTTATCTGTTAAACAGGGATTAATGCCAGTTTGAAAAATAAGCAGGAAATCCTTGAGTATTATTCACTTTTCATCTATGATTATTCATATATAAAGGACATCATAAGAGAAAACATTTTGGACTGAACTTATGACAGCTTTAACCCTTATTTCCGTCTAAACAACGTTTTGGGCAAACTGTCACAAGGTCTTTTAGAAAGCGGAGTTGAAGTTTCCTGCACTTGAAAGTGAAAGCGAGGTAGGGACCCGAGTTCAAGTTCACGTTGCTCTGCTGGGATTCGGGATCTCTGCCGGGGCGGCGCAGCGGTGCGGGGCCTTTTGTTGCAGGGAAATGGAGAGAGAAACTAAATCGCTGCACGCTGGGATTCTTCAGCGCGAAGTAACGAGAGCTGGAAAATACCACACCAAACCCGAGTCAAATGTTCTGAAACATCCGTGATTTATTGTTTGAATAACAGTAGTAAGTGTGATATTTCAAAATGCTGGTTTATAAATACACATTCTTTCACTTCTGTGGTATTGTGCTTGGGACCTGTGTGTTGATACAAGTTCTGCAAGTAGGTGTTTGTATTTCAAATGCAAATGCGAGTAGGAAAGGTCCTCCTTTAACTTACATTAGCTACTATTTTCCAGTAAGGGAAGGGCCTGCTCACCCTCGGCTTTCATCTAAAAAAATGCATTTATTTAGAACAGTGACAGACAGCAGAGTTTTAGATTAGGCATGCAAAACTGCCAAATCAGATACCGCCCATCTTTCTATTTTTAAGGCGGTTCCTTTCCACCCACGAATGTATTATCTTTCACCTCTGTACTCTTTCAAGTTAGCGAAAACAGGAGAAAGAAAAACAAAACAAAACCCAACCCCCAAAAAACCACAAAACCCCAAAAAGCCCCGAAGGCAACACACATGAATGTGGAACCAAGAGCTGTATACATCTTGTGGAGCTGATCCCAGCTGCAGATAGGAGAGCACATCTCATGGCTGCGTTTGTTCGTGTATGGTGTATGAAGAACAACCAACTGGTGGCACCGTGCACTGTAGGCTGTGGTCCCAAAGTGAGCGCTCTCGGTGCCCCACTCGGGGTAAGGAGAGATTACAGATTTGGGAAACCAGCTTTGTGAGGAGAAGGGTGAAGCGATGTCACGTCTGTGTGCTGGGGTTCACTGCACCGTCCGCAGACACCTGCGCTTCCAGCCAATACTGCAACAAGGTCCTGGTCAGCTGAACAGCGATAGGTTTGATGGACAACGCGCAGTGGTGATTCCTGTGTTTTCACTGGCTTGTGGTTATTCTGCAGCTTTCTGCCTTCAGCTTCCAGACAGATTTTTGGCTCATTTAAGGCTTTTTTTATGATCTTTATTGCACTGTGCCATGTGATGGAATACACATGAAGAATGCTGTGCTCGGAGCTCTGGGTGCACTCAGCTCTGCGTATGCATTTATAAAAGACTTCTTGCATTTTGGGGGGAAGAAGCAAATCGAGGTTTGCTGAGGCTGTCTGCTCACTGTTGAGAGAAGCCTTCTGTGTTCCTCTCTTCTCTTTCTCCAAAGGCTCTTTCCTTCTGCAATAAGAGAGGGCTTAAAAGGACCAAAAGCACACTCGGCTTCTATATAAAGCTATCTAATGTGTGAGGACAGGCAAACATTGGAATACAGAAAATAAATCCTTACTGTCTCAAATTAGATGTTTTGGAATATCCTCACTCCAGTAATAGTGGCAGCCTAATTCTAACACACAAACCCCTCTTTGCTTCCAGCTTTCTCCACTGGAAATGTTATATATTATTGAGGACCGCACACTTCACTAGAAGGGAAGTGTATTTTGTGATGTTTCAGAACAGAATTAATGCAAATTGTGTGCACGATCCCACACTAAAGACTTGGCTGACTTGCACTTGAGCAACTTTAGCTCTATTTCCTATTAACGCAGTCACTACAAATCAAGGAAATTGCCAGTTAAGCCAACATTAACATCCAGACCAACCTCAACTCACATGCCTTACCGCCCAAACATAATACCCAAATGCACTCACGGATTTCTTAGCTCCATAACAAACTCTCTTTCATTTCTAGCACTCGGGATCGGAGCAGCAGTCTGTGACAGTACAAGTATGTCTACCACAGGGGATCTTGCTGAAGGCAGATTTGGGATTTTGTGTGATTTTGAGGAAATGGGTGTGCGCAGCGTGGGTGGCCTCGCGCTCTGCCCAAGCCCTACCAGCAGCAGTGGTCAAGCTGAGAAGGAAACTTGTCGGCAGTTTTGTCTCTAAATCCAATTTGGTTTTCTCTCCAATTTTCTACCTTACTGCTGGTGGGCCTCACAGTCTTGAAAGTATTTGTTTATCTTCACAAGATCCTTATTTCATGAGAGCTGCGGTGAAGAGAAACTGAGGTGTGTGCTTGTTCATGGTCAACCAAAGTTGGCAGTGATGCTGTCTTACCCTGTTTGGAGCTTCAGGACTGTGCACTTCCTCCCACGAGCTGAGACACATGCTCACAAACTTGCCTCAGCCTCGGGGAAGGAGGAGGAAGCACTGGGGAGTGATGTTGAGCCCTGAAAGCCAAGGTTTTGGCTGCTGAAATGTTCCTATTTGGGCTTAAGGGAAGGGGGAATCCAGGATTGCCAATGAGGGAGAACGCTCAGGATAGCCGAGGGGGTGATGGTGTAATGGTGGTTCAGTAGCAAAGTTAATTAATCTTTGCTAAGAGAGTTTTTCTCTGCTGCTCAGTACACAGAGTGATTTTTTCTCTAGTTTAATTTTAAAATGTCCAAGTGACCTATGCTAGGACGTTAACGGTAAGGTGTGAGGGCTTTCAAACTTGTCCTGTATGTATTTGTGTGGCAGCAGTGAGTGGAAGAGGGGAAGATGAACCACAGAGCCATGTGTGCATAAACAGAGGAAGCGAAGGCTCTTTTATGGCAGAAACAAGATTGTGATTTATCCTTTGAATAGGTGTCATGTAAAATGGGGAGACCTGAGTTCTCTTCCTGAAGGATAAAAGATTTCAGTTACTGCTTTATGTGGGGAGTCAACACAACAGAGCTCTGTGGAAATTCCTGGTTTTCTTTAATAGATGGGTACCTTGAAAATTATTTCATAGGCACTTCAACGTAGCTATTAAACTGCTGAAATCACTTTGTACTTGGAGCTAATTAAATGTTGCATGATTACTTTGGGTGATAACTGCGAATTTCATTAATAAGCATGCTAATATGGACTTTTTTATACAGAAAAATAAATCTGAAGTTTACTATTCTAAATTCTACCATGATGCCCTCCTTTTCTTTTATGTACAAAAATACATTTTTTTGGTATAGAAACTTAAACTTTTATGGTAAATTGACCTTAAATATGTTTGTGAATGTTTAAAAACTGGCTATGGACTGACATATAGCAGGAGAAAGAAGTAAATAACATATATAAGTTATTGTGATTCTGCTGATCTTCTAATGTAATCATTTCAGTACATCCACCAGTGAAATGTTTTCAATGAAGTTAATACCTAATTTAATATTTCACTTGAAAACTCTCAACTCTGATTTGCTGCCTCTCGAGCAATAAATCAGATGGTTTCTTTCATATGCTTTTATAAGAAAGATGCTTCTTCAGGCTTGTTTTTGGTATGGATTGTTTTGGCTGGGTTTTGATAGTGTTTCTACTTCCAAAAATTAATATTGTGGAAACATCAATCTTTTTTATGCTGGCTCTTTCCCAGGAAAGAGCATTTTGGGGTTTCATGCTAACATTCATCACTTCAGTGCTTCATATTGGTCACACAAGTTCTCAACTGCAGTCAGAATGTTTCCAGATTTTTCAGTTGGCTTTTATAGATTTAAATTGCAATATTTAAGTACTAATACTGTTAATATGACTGCAGTTGAAGTTTGGATTCAGTTTGAGGAATTGAATCCCTTTCGATTCAGTAATCTTCTGTAACTGTTTTGTTTCCAGACAACGCAATGTAAGCCTCGCTAGCTTTTTAAGGTAGACATTCATAAGCCTCTTCTTTTGCAGTGATTAATCTCTTGTGCTTTTGTGTTTCTTTTTTCTTTTTCTTTTTTTTCTTACCCAGGGATGTTGCTGGTCACTACTGACACATTAGGCCATGATTTCCATGTTTTTCAAATACTGACACATCCTTGGTCATCATCACAAAGTGCCGTCCATCATTTGTATACACTTCACAGGGGAGAGACTGAAGCCAAAGTAAGTTCAACTGTTTGCTGAAGAATAATCCCCAGACACCTTATACATTTTGTGAATGTTGGCACTTTAATGTTTGTTTCAGCACACAAAGAGCCTTTCTTATGTTATAGCCGCAGCAAGGATAAGAGCACAGCGTTTAACCTGGACAATAATAAATTCTTGCCCTTCGCAATGAGGTGCTGTCAGATTTATTCAGATGTGGCACTGCCTCCAAAGAGCCCTGGTTATTCGCTGTGTTTGTGCTTAACCTTTTCTCACGTCACACGTTAAACATTTGTCTAGTGCCCGTGAAGCAACTGTCAGGCTTTGCTTGACTTTGGTGGTAAAAGCCAAAGACTGACAATTAAAGAGTTGAAAGGAAGAGTTAATCAGAAGACTGTGATTAGCTTTTATCTGCACTTCAGCAAAGTGGGGGAACCTGTTGGAGACTGTGGTGATACAGATTTAACTCCCCGGTTTAAAAATCCCACTCTTAGAGGTGGAAGACTATATGAGGCTAGATTAGCAGAGAGTGAAAAAGCCTGAAATTATACTTCAAAATATGCTCAGTAAACTGATTTACTGGTAAAGTGGAGAAAGGTGAGAGCAATGAGTTGTGCTCACCTGGCTGTGACAGCAGCAGTGCAGTGGATTATGCTTGAATCCTTGGCGGCAATGCTTTTAGACATCGGGAGAGCCTCACCTCTGTAGCACTGAGTAACTGTTGAGGAACCTGTTTTAAATACATAAATAAAAATGTCACCACGGGGTAAGAAATGAGTATTGCACTTGCTGATGCAATTACACACTGAAAGCACAGACTTGTGGCAGCCTGGCAGATGTAAACCGGTGTGACAGAGAGAAGCCCCAGGCGTTGTGATTATGACCCTGACACTGGAAACTTGGATTATTGTGGCACTGTTATTGCAGCTCCTTCAGATCTTTTTTTTTCCCTATGAATTGTGCAGTTTCCCTTAAGTTTTTTGCCTTACCTTTGTAACAAGTAGGATCTGAAAGCTTTATTTAACGTAGTAGCAGTTGGTAATGTTTTAATCTGTGTGTATTTCAATTACTGGCAGGTTAAATACTCTAAAGCTTTGCTGCTGCTGTTCTGGAAAAGTGTGATTACTATTCCTGGCAATGGGTTACTATAGGAAGGAACAACCAGTCTGGAATGTGAGAGGAAATTAGGAAAAACTGTCCATATGGGGTTGTATATGTAATGCTTACAAGTAATTTTTATAAATAATATAAAGGGCATTGAAATGTGTGTATATATATACACTGCCACCTATTTGGGCACGTACTGTAATGTGTTTAATGCTTTAGAGTTATTTTTGTTCTACTTTCATACAAAAAATGTGAAATTTGCTATAATCAATATTGAATACCAAAGCATAAGACTCCAGTCACTGTGAACAAAGACGTTCTTTTGTTTTTTTACAGCTGATAAATTTGTTTTTAAGGCATATATTGGAAACCAAGCATAACATGTCGTAGAGACCAAAGCTTTATAGATACACCTTTTTGGGGGTATAGTGTTAGCATCTCTGTGAAAGCATTGCATTAAAGTTCTCAGAATCAACATAGTAAAGTTTTTCCCTAGTTTGCCACATAGTTTTCATTTGGGATGTGAACAGTATAGCTTTTGGAATGGTATAAAACAGGGAAAATTCAAGCCAGCCTCAGGCATATTAGTGAATTTCACAGCTCCCTTGATAATTGAACTATCCAGCAATAATATTGCATTGGTACCTGTGATTCTTAATATGCACCTATGATTTTAAATACTTATGTAATATGATGGAAGGTTTGACTTTTTCTTTTGGAGTAATAGTGCTTTTAGTTGTTTAGTGAGAAGAGTAGCATGTGGTGCTATTCTTTTGTTCCGTAAATTTCATGTATCCGTAGCATTAGTCAAAAATTTTGGAGACTGTTCGATTTAAAATTCTCAATGCGGGTATTCTGAGACACACACTGGAAGCCTCTGTGCCTCTGCTGGTTAGAACACTATTTATGCATTTGCAACCAGACTTTTTCCTTAGCTTTGAACCAGAGAAAAATCAAACTGTGAATCAAGGCCAATGGTCTTAAAGGTCACCTTCTGTACTGGAGCTATAAAAAGTTCTAATTCGTGTTGATGGACATGAGTGATTATCAGTGTCAACATTTGTTTAGCCAGTGCTCATTATAAATTGTTTAAACACCATCATTATGCCCTTGTTATATGCGGTATTTTAATGTCCATACTGAAATCATTTGCTTTTGTAGATGAGATTCAGGCCGATAGAGCTTCCCCACACATTTCCCAAAATACCTTTCTGTCATAGGCTGATACATGATTTTTCTGGTTTTGCCCTGTGATCCATTAGCACGTTTCTTGCTACTTACTACTGATATTATAAAACCATTTAGTTCACAGGCAAAGAGGTGGTACACAGTAGTGTCTATGAAAGCTTCCTGTACTTGTCTGCGTGGCTGTGTCCAAGCTGCTGTGGACTCAGGAGCTCCCTGTACGGGGTCACTTCTGCACACATCGACTGTGCACGGAGTGCGCTGTAAGACTGATTTTTTCGAAAGAGCGTTGGATCTGCAGCGTATGCTTTGTGTCATATGGGGCATACCGGCTTTGCTCTGGGAGCAGAAATTGGGGAACCATATGTATTAGTGTACTGAATTTTCACAGGTATATCTGGCCTTATAGGTTGTTTTAATTGTAATTTCACCCAGGTTACCATATCAGCCTCGGAGTCTCCCTTTTTGCAGGGTTGCAGAATTCCCAGTCTCTGTTTTACCGTCTCTTTCGTGGTTGGAGGGCACAGCAATAGCTTGGTATTTCTCATCTGTCTCCTAAGAGAAGGTGACAGGAGGTCCCCTCTGTCATTCATATACAGAAGCATCTTAAGTGGATTAAGTGGCATGCTTAATGTATATTAAAGAAAAAGCAGCAAGTGTTGTGATTTAATAATGGTGTTTTCTGATCGATTTACTGCAATCAAGCAGCGTGTCTAAGTCACCCACACATCTTCCTACTGAGTCAGATGTATTAGCTATGCACTTACTTTGACTTAATAAAGCTGAGGAGTATGTGCTCCATCATGCATTAATTTTTCTAAATTCCAGACAAATACTGGTTTGGTTTGGAGCAGAGAAATTTCAGTCTGGAAGACTGTTTGTACCTTTTCCTGACCATTTCTGAAGTACAGAGACGCTGGTTGGAAAGAGACCTGCAGGGGTTTTGTCTGCTTTCATGGATGTCAGGGTCTTGTCCTTAGCCAGAGCAGAATCTTTGTAAGTGTTTGCAACCAGTTGGCCCCTCCAGCCCGACGGTGTCTCTGAAATCATACCGTTAATGATGGGATAAAATAGAGACTTTCTACTTTGATTTTAATGCAGAACGTTGTGTTTGCATTGAGAGTCTGTCCTGGCAGCTGTACCTTTGCTTTTTGTGATGTTTCTGCTTAGTGGAGGAGAGGGAGATGAGACTGTTAAAAGACCCTCCACAAGATCAGCTCTCCTGTGCCGAAATGTTGCTCACAGAGATTGTGCTGCATTCAGTGTATACCCAGTATGTGCTCATAGGCCCTTTCTGAACACCTGATGGTCATTTTTCCCTTTCCAAAAACCCCTGCTAGCCATCTTCCAGGGGTTTTTGTTAGTGATCGTCTTCTAGGGCTTGTCTGCATTGCCACTCTGCTTCATGTTGGCTTCACGATGCTGAGGGACACTGCTGGGTAAGGCAGGCTTTTGAGCTTCCCTTCCCCTCTGTGAGGAGTTAAGGGTAAGCAGTAGTAGTATTCTCCCTGCCTGTTCACAGCTAGTCTTCATGACATGGTTTTCCTTTTCTCTTTCTGCACGCTTTGAACAATGCAACAGAGTGTTACTGAGTTTTAAAGTGTTGTTATTGCAAATCTAGGTTGTATTTGCTGACTTAGAGCAGCAAATATAAGAAGCAGCCTTATGTGCTGAATAAAACATTGAGTCGAGACTGTGAAGATTGCTCGGTTCCTAGCAAAGCCACTGTCTTGTTTGTGTGACTGGGATGAAGATGGGGTAAGATGGAAAGGGGACCTCTGTCTCATAAGGGGATTGCAAGGACAATGGCCACAGAAGAATGTGAAGTGCTGAGATACTTTATTGGTTCGAGTGATGCGAGTCCCAAGGTCACAACATTCAAGGTTCCTTTTCTGCAAACACAGACAGAAGTCACTGCTTCAGTTACATAGGATTAATATCTTCTAGTCTTTAAGTGCCACTTATGCTTTAGAGTTATTATTATTTTTTTTTTACTTAAGAGAAAAATCCCCAGTGTGTTTGATTCACTGTGCTACATTGTGAAGGTTCATTGCAAGCACTGGTGGTACTTAACCATACCAGAGAGAGAACCAAAGCTCTAGGAGAGTCCGTGCTTGCACAGTTCAGCTGTAAAGGAGGAAAATGTGCACGTGTACGTGGTGCACATTTTGGTTAAGGATACGTTTCCTTCTCCTACAGCTCTTGCATTGTAAGTCAACACTTACTGCAGGCATATTTTTACCTAAGAGCACGTTGGAAGGTTTTTAATAAAGTCATAGCATGTTCTGAACTGACGAAGCTCATTTACCTGCAGGTGAAAGTCAGACCATCACCTGATGATCCTTTCACTTTGATCTGAAATTGTAAACAGGGAAAAAATCCCTGAAAACAGCATTATCTTAATCTAGAACAAATGAACATAATGATAGCATCAGCGGACTGGTGGCCAGGGTCCTCTCTAATCTTTGACACTGCCAGACCTTGGTTATTCTGCCTCCAACTGCTGTTACAACTGACTGCAGCCAGCGGAGGTGAACAGGGAATGGTAAACCCGTTCCAGCTTGGGCAATTTTACGCTTTTCTAGGGAATGCGTGAATGTTTTTGTGACGGATTTCACAGAGGCTGTTCAAGGTTGTGTCACATGCTGTGTCCAGGTAGTGAAACACGAGAACAGTTTCTACATGTTAAATGTAAACCTGCATGGTTAATAGAAACTTCTTCCTAT